AAAGAATTCTCACATGCATATTCTTATCTTGGCTGTGTTTTAAGAATTCAACTGTTTTTGTGCTAAACATCTCAATTGATCATGTTTTGGAAGGAAATATAGCATGTAAATTCTTGCATGCGTTATATCTCAAGTTTCAAGTTTGGTTTTGTATAATTGACTTGATTTTGGGCTTTGATTTTGCAAAATGATCTTTAATTCATGAGGTTTTACAAGTTTAAAAATATTTTCTTAATTTTTGGCCCAAAAGAATGTGTTTTCGTGCATTGGAATTGAGTTTTAATGAATATTGGTAATGTTATCCAAGTAATAAAATATGGGGTGTGACAGTGTTATTTCTTGTAGTGACATATAGGGCATACCTGTGCGGACGAAATAAATTTAAATCAAACTAGTCCATAAGAGTTGTGCATCGATTAAATGAATGACGTACATATTAACATAGTTTTACAACTTGGATACAAAATAAATTAAACTTGCTATTACATCTTGATCAAAGGCTTTTCAAGCTAAAACATACAAATGTAAATGATCTACAAAACTAAAAAGCATGATCTTCAATATGATTACAAAAGCATAAATCGAAACATGTTTCAAATAAAGTCTTAGGCGGTATTGCCTTCTTGTTCATCACCTACATATATATAAGGGAGAGGGGTGAGCTGAAAACTCAGGGAATGATATAAGTGATAAAGGTTTGAATGTATGTATCCAAGATTTTATCAAAACATTACATATCATAGCTTGTAGCAAATCAAAGGATGAATCAAGTTCATCAATTAAAGGCTTTCAAAGCTTCAAATGATGTTTACTAACATCTACATAATATAAATGATAGACATTCATTGACAAAACAAATAAATAACTGACTCAGAGTTGATTAGACAAGCCCACCCATCGATGGTAAAAGAGATATCTCAAATAAAGGTACTAGTTGTATTAAAGTCCTCTAGTACACAAGGACCTTTCTAGACTGTCATCAAATACTATAGTATTTGATACAAAAACTAAGGGATAATTATTTATGCTTAATCATATACATTTCCAAAACAAAGAAAAGCTTTTATCCAAAAAATTAACACAACTTTATTAAAAATACCACTCACAATAGCTTTTCGGTTGCGGGAATTAAGGCAAGGATCTAAAATCTACAAATACATGGTAAATCCCATTGGATGCACTTCAAGATGACAAGAAGAGATGCTCAAAGATGGCTATGTAATGGACTCTCAAAACAAGTTTTAAATGAGTAAAATAGATCTCGGCATTTCTTTCTAAAACTAAGTCAAAACAAAGTAAAACATGTTCTGAAAGTTGAATCAATGTTTTTCTTCTTGGAAAAACATGCTGGGTATAAATCAGGTCAAGGAATGAATGCACAGAGATGAGCTAGGCCGAAATAGCCTAGGTGGGTAAACTTAAGAGTTCATAGCTGAAGTTCCATACCTCTTGGCCGAGGTGTGGTCTCCTTGACCGAGACGTGGGCTGCCCACCTGAGATGATACAAGGTGTCGGCAAAGATGTGTTGTGGTCGGCCTAGGTGTACAGTGGTTGGCCTAGGTGCAAGTGATCATGCAAAGTAGGCCAAGGTGAGATGCAATGGTTGGCCTAGGTGTAGAAGCTGGACAAGAGTGGGTCTTGATCACCACACTTAGGGAATAATGAAGTCTGGAAAGTTGGATTTCCTTTTAAAGAACATGAATAACATGAACATGAATAACGTGAATGTTAAAAATCATATCTTCTTATTCAAAATATGGGATTTCATGATATGAGTTAAAAATATGGACCTAGGTAGGCATACTTGAAGATTCCATGAAAACAGACACAAAAACATAGAATTTGTTACAAACTTTTGATCAAAACATGGTTATTTTTTAATAATACAAGAATATCGCTTTCTCTTTCTAAAATAAGACTTTAAAGCAATACATGACTCATGAATCATGCTAGATCATCCAATGTGATCATATCAATATAAAAAACAACAAAAGTAGATCAAGAATCTAACTTTAAAACACAAATCAAATGGTTCAAAGTCAAAGATTCAAGCTTGTAAAATCTAGTTTCCTCCAAGAACTTCTTCTTCTTCTTTCTAGAGCTTCTCTCTATTCAAGACAAAGATATTGAAAATGATATGGGTTTTTCAACAGCTAACTAACTAATACCCACTATTGGGACACGTGGCATCATCTGGTCAAATCTCTTCAAAAAGGTATCTAAATGAAAGGACAAGAGTAGGTCAAAGTGTATACAATAAGTAAGGTGGCATGGGTACTTCTGACAAGACAAGCATTCAAGCTCAAAACATAGGCTTTGGACAAGTAAGGTCTCCCTGACCTCGGCTATTAGGGGTAACACTTAGCCTAGATGTGACACACCTCAGCTTAGGTTATACAAGACGTGGAACAAGGGTTGCTAGGTGTTGGTTAAAGTGCACAGCTCGGCATGAAGGTTCAAGGATCAAAGATCTCGAATGTCTAGGTAATGCGCACCTTAGCGTAGGTGGTGCACACTTCAGTCTACATGCAAGGGTGGAGGTGGAGGTCAATCAAGATAGTTCCAAGATGGCTTTAGCTGTTGTCGCTCAACGGCCTAGGTGTAAGAGGTTCAAATGTGTGACCCATGTGTGAGGTAGAAAAGGTAGATAGCCTAGATTTAACACACAAAGCATGGAACAAAACAGTGATCTTATACTTAGGCAAAATACGTTAGTATCAAAACAAGACAGGATCCACATTTAGACAAAATATAAAAGTTTACGAAATGCAAGCTTAACAAACTAAAATCATGTAAATTCTAATGAATATGACTAAAGTAAAGGGTAAACTACCAATAGGTCATAATAGTTAAACTTAATTCCTATCAAGTCCTATTAAAAATAAGTCTTGGTAAAATTATCGCTAAAAATAATTTTTTTGTGACAATTTTTTACATACGTCGCTAAAAATTGACAATTAATGATTTTTTTTGTCATGATTTTGTAAATTGTCGCTAAAACTTATAATTAGTGACTTTTTTTATGTTAAATTTTTTTCTATAGGACCTATTAGACAATAAGTCCACTTATTAGGACTTACATGTAAGTACCCCTAAAGTAAAATAAGGATTGTTATACGGTATGAGCGGTGTTTATCCCCACGAGTCGGCCACCCTCTCCATTTGACAATTCATTAAATATGTTTTTTTTTATTTTTTTGTTTTAAAAGCACATATGCATAACAAACATGATTTTTTTTCTACAATTTTTTTTTTTTTGAAATTGAACATAACTTAATTTTTTTCCAGAAAAAAAATTAAATAAAAAAACTATCAACTTGAACAGATATATAATGACGAGAGAGACAATTCAGGAAATTTATTCAGAAAAAAGAATTAACGGTTTACATTCATTGTGGCGTACATCACATCCTACTAATTCTAAATCTACACTACACAAACTTTCGGAATAATATTCGAAATAAAGTTTTATGGTCCCTAGTATTTTTGTAAAAATTAACCTTAAAAAATGGGTTTTGCAGTAAAAATTATTCTTGAGGTGAGCAATGTCAACCCAATCATTTTATTTGAACAAAACTCCTCGTTTGTTTCCTAGTCCAGAGCATATCACACCATACTACAAGAATTATTCTCATATCACTAATAACAAACTGTAAAGATTTCATTGGATACAGAAAAATCGTTTTTAACAAACTAAAGCATTCCCACATTTTTATCCTCACGTAGCTGTCTAGATATATGCTGAAAACAACCGTCAAGAACCCCATTGAACATCACGAAATATGCATACAAATATCAATTAAACGACATGTTCTGATGATGTTCACAGTGGGATATTCTTAACGAATATCTGTTTGTTCTCTCGTCTTCCATTTTTTCGTACTCTTGTCTCAGGATATCGTCGAACACCTTATGCTCTACTTGGTTGGCGGATTTAGAGAGAGATTTGAAAAGGGAAATAGAAAAGGTACGTGAAATGTGAATAAAACATGCTTATATTTCACATAGTTTCACACACCTTTTCCTCTTCCCTTTCCAAATCCCTTCTCAAATCCCCTAACCAAACACAATATTAAGAAATCAAACTCTTGTTACATTAATTTTACAACTATACTATAAACTCATTTTCGGGATAAGGTTCGGCATAAATATTTCCATCAGCAGTACTACATGCACACAATTTCTTTTCCTCACAATCCTCTAATGAGATGGCAAGACAAAATGTATATAAGTAGAGTTTTGAGAGAATATTAGAATGTGAGTCAACTTTTCAAATTTTGCTTCCTAAATCATTTGGAGGATTTGGAAGAGAGAAATTGTACGAATAAATCATTTTTCTTATTTTCATGATCTTTTTTGCTTTAAATATAGGACAAATAACTGTTCAGTGATGTTTTAAAAAATAATTATAAATAAATAATAAATATTATAAATATTAATAATTAAAATTATAATTTTTTTTCATAAATTTGGAATAATTTTTAAAAATTATTACTGAATGATAATTTTCCCTTAAATATACAGCATTGGTCAACTTTTCATGGTAAGTTTTTAAAATTATTTATGCTTCCTACACTTACTAACTTATTATTAGAAAATGTTTGGGACACCTTTTGGGGATGACCCTCACACTCTCAAAGTGATTTTGGCCTTTCATATATGTGTGAGGCCCACTCATATATATGTGAAATCCACACTATGAATAATTTAGATTTGTTGGAGTCTTGTGAGGGTCTTTTGAAAATGAGAGTCTCAATTATTAGTTTTTATTAGTCCAGAAAGTCTAGCAACCCATAAAAGCGTCAAAAGAAAAAAAAAAAAATACTCAGAATTATAGATTAATGTTATATATTCAAAATGAATGGATATCGGCCATTGGTTGCAAATTTGGGACAAATTTATTTATTTATTTATTTATTGGACATCAGAACCGCTGTTACCATATATATAGAAGCCCTAAACAACGTTGTTTATACACCAACAAAGAAACAAGCAACATCATGAGCTACGAGAACTATGACCCTTGTTTCCCAGACCAACCTGTCGTGGACCTATATCTCCCAGCATGGGCTAACCTACCAGCCTTTCGGTCCAAACCCGCCTTCATTTGGGCCGAAGATGGCTCAACTGGTGTGACCAAGGTCTCAACTCTGACCTACGCTGAGCTAAACAGCACAGTGCAGTCTATTTCTTCTCACCTTCTCTTTCCATTACAAAGAGGTGACACTGTTGTGATTCTCTGCTCACCAGGCCTCGAGCTGGTCGAGATCATTTTCGGATGCCAAAGAGCTGGGCTTGTAGGGGTTCCCATCATCCCTCCTGATCCATCTTTTTCCAACAACGCCCATCACCACCTTGTTAGAGTTATCTCTCAAACAAAGCCCAAAGCTGCCATAGCTAGCTCTGATTACACCAAACGTGTTCGACAATATGTCTCATTGTCGTTTTCTAGCAATCGACAACTCTGTGAGCTTTTACAGAACCTCAAATGGATTGCAACTGAGGACATTATGGACAAGAAGGTGAACTTGAAACCGGGTTTCTTTTCATCGTATAATGGTTGCAAGCCGGACGAGATTTATCTGATTCAGTACACGTCTGGTGCAACCGGGATTCCAAAACCGGTCCTTGTTTCTGCGGGATCCGCTGCTCACAATGTTAGAGTAGCCAGGAAAGCCTATAATCTTCATCCCAATAGTGTCATTGTCTCATGGTTGCCACAGTATCATGACTGTGGCCTAATGTTCTTGCTACTGACAATTGTATCGGGCGCAACGTGCGTGTTGACATCACCCAATGCCTTTGTAAAGCGGCCAAGGCTATGGCTCGAGTTGATAACTAAGTACAGAGGCACTTGCACCCCAGTTCCATCATTCGCATTGCCACTCGTTGTCAAGCGAGGTGGGATGAGTCAAGGAACATTGACTATAAATCTATGGAGCATGAACAACTTGATCATTGTCAATGAGCCTATTTACAAGGCATCAATAGAAGAATTTATCGAGGTATTTAGGCCTCTCGGGCTAAACCCATCTTCCATCTCTCCGTCTTATGGCTTAGCCGAAAGCTGCACTTTTGTTTCGACTTCATGGCGTGAAAAAAATGATAGCCTCCCATGTTACAACAAGCTCTTACCCAGTGCAAGGCTAGGTTCTGATGAAGACGATGAAATTGAAATTATAGTCGTAAATGAAGAAACAAATGAGCCTGTGGAAGATGGGATTGAAGGCGAGATATGGATTTCATCTCCGAGCAATGCCTCTGGCTACCTCGCCCATCCTTCGCTAACTCGCAAGGTGTTTCATGGGAGACTTAGAAACAAGGTGAGCCGGTGCTTCATTCGAACTGGTGATAGGGGAATTGTCAAAGGAGAAGAGAGGTATCTTTATGTGACGGGTCGATGTTCTGATATCGTGCTAAAAAATGGACAAGAAATACATCCCCATTATATAGAGACCGCTGCTTATAACAGTTGTCCAGAGTTTTTAAGGGGAGGTTGCATTGCTGCATTCAAGATTTCAAGAACAGCAATAGCTGTTGTTGCAGAGATGCAGAGAGTTGAGAGAGAGATTAGAGTTTTGAGGAGAATATGTGAAGGAATAAGGGAAGGTGTAATGAAGGAAGAGGAGATTAAGATTGGTCTGGTGGTTCTTGTCAAGAATGGGAGTGTTCCAAAGACTACTTCAGGTAAGATAATGAGATGGGCAGCTCAGGCTAAGCTTTCAGAGTGTAAAATGAATGTGATCATGCAAATGGAATTTGATGAACATGGCGGTGATTCGACATCGTTGGGGATGATAATTGAGGCATGTGAAGGGAAAGAAATGAATGAAAACGGCAGGAAACAAACAGGAGCCTTTATGTCACTCTCAAACGCTCCAAATCATCAATCCAGACTCTCCTCTCTGTAGGAACACAAAAGCTTTCCTTGATTATAGTCTTTTATGCATGTTTATGTATTACGTTTTTTGGTTTTTCCTTTTGATGCGGAGGATTGTGTAGAAATTTTCAGTGGTATAATTGAAAGTTCCAATATAATTTTGTACGGGTACATTAATAAAAGAGTGATTATGCTAAGAAAGCTTTTGTTATCTTCTTCTCAGAAACTACAGTTGGGAAATATCACACATAATACAATATATACGAATTTTAAGGATTAAACTTTTCATTCCTTGAATGAAATTTTGTTTAAAAGACCATTCAAAAAGTAATAATAATAATAATAATAAGGACATTTAGCATTAAAATTTGAAAATGTCGCTAATAAAATATTTTTAAGAACAAAATGATTTTGAATTATATTTTTGGGAAATATTATGAGTTTGATTATCATAAACGTCATAACTCAATACTATGAGAGTCATAATTAAATTAAAAAAAATTAAATTATAACTAAATATCATATGAAATATATAATCAAACAATTCTTAGATTATAATCAAAATTTTGTCACAACCAACATCACAATGTGTCAAAGATCCCCTAAACTATTGAAAATTATCAACTTAACCCATAAACTATAAAAGCGTACAAATAGATCTCCTAAACTATTTGGAAGTATCACTTTATCCTCTAAACAATAAAAGCGTTCAAATTTTCCCAAATTATAAAATGTACAAATTGAATCATTAACGGAGAGTCAAAGTGAAACACACCAATAGATTAAGGGGTCTATTTGTATATTTTTATGGTTTATGGGATCCATTTATATGCTTTTAAAGTTTAGAGGGGGGTCAAGGTGAAATTTTTCAATAGTTGAAGGGATTTCTGCGTAAATAACACTAATTAATAATATAATAAGTCATAACTATTGACTCAAATGCCGTAACCCAAGGTGCATGTCGTATACACCCTAGAGAGAAGTGTACCATAGAATTTTCCTATATTTTTAGATGAAAATTTTGATCCCAAACCAGCCAAGTGGTAAAAATTTAAAAATAATATCATAATCAGTCGAACACTTTTTGCATTTTTGATAAAAAAAAGTCAGTTGTTAATTGTTAAATTAGCACATTTGAGAAACAGTTGCCTCACCCTTTCAAAGTATTAAGTGCTTGCCTCTTTAATTTGACCTTTCCATTGGGGCTACTCCCTTAGAAGAATCATGTTGGCTAATTGAGTTAGGCTAAGTTGGTTGAACAACTACCAATTTAAAAATAAAATAAAATAAATAAAAAAAGAAAGATAGGAAGTGGATTGCCTCGAGTCCATAATCTGGACTGGACGATATTGTTTGAACTCGTAGAATCACAAGGATTCTATTTCAATAATTCGAATCATTTATTTTGTTGGATACTCCATATATTTTATCTAAAAAAAAGAAATTTAGTTGATCTGATACTCGTAACTTATTCAATTTATCATGTTTGTTATTAAAGCAAAAAAAAAATAAAATTTGACAATAATTGCATTTTAAAAATAAACCATTAATTTTCTAGGTTACAAATGTGATAAATTGAATAGATTATGTTTATTGAATCGACCTAATTTTTTTTGTGAATGAAATACATGAAATGCCCAATAAAATAAAGCATTCAGTTCATCAAAATAGTACTCGTGAGACCTATATTTCCAAACATTGCCTTCCAGTCCAGCTTGTGGACTAGAGGCAATCCACGAGTAATTCTATTTCTACACACTAAACCCTCTCAATGGACATCTTTTCTCAAGGCACACATTTAATGATTTTCAAATATGAAGTTTTGTTTAGTACACATCATTCCTTGTCAAAAATACCCCTAATTCCTTTAAACCTTCAAACCTAACTTAACCTTAGCCACCATTGGCCACTATCACCACCACCATGAACCATTGCGAACCCATCTCACTTCCGCTTTTACCACTTTCTTCGATGGCCCATCTCACCCTACTTAGTCATTTTTGACACCCTCCTCCACGACCCTTGTTGCTCACAACTCCCTCATCTGTAACACACCAACCCTCCTCATACTCCAGCATCCATAATACAGAGAGATTCACAAAGAGAGAGACAGAGAGAGAGAGAGCGCGACTGGGATTTTGAAATAAAGACAGATCGTCGACGGCTAGGGTTTTAATAAGAGAAATTGCAGTGGCTAGGGTTTCGTAGAGAGAGAGAGATGAGGGGTTGCGACTATGATTTTGACAGAATGAAGGATAGTGGTTGTGAGGGTGCCATAAATGGGTTGCGGACTAAGTTTGCAATGGTAGGAAACTCGTGGCAATGAAGATTTTGTAACGGCAGAATTGCAGCAATGGTGGTTCATGGTGGTGGTGTTGCTGGTAGTGGGGGTGAGTAGTGGCTAGGGTTAGGTTTAGAAAGTTAGGATTTTGGTGGATAAGATAAGGACATTTTAGTAATTTTATTTTAGGACAAAATTATAATAAAATAAAATAGAGAAAATTGTTGAAAAATTCACTCTAGGAATTATCTAAGGCATTAGGTCCAGTGAATATTTTTTGTTGTCTACCATTTGTGAAATAATTTGGTGATAAATCCTTTTGTTGTATTGGAGAACATTTTGTTTTCAATTTTATCCCTTAATTTATCAGTTGATTTTTTTTAATTATCTGTTCAAATTTATATGTATCTATTCAATTTTTTTCTATCCGTTCAAACTTATATGTATCTATTTAATTTTTTTTCTATCTGTTCAAATTTATATCTATCTGTTTAATTTTTTGACTATATGTTCAATTTTTTCCCTTATTTGTTGAAATATTAGCCAAACCAAATCCTATCTGCTGAAATATATAGCCAAACCAACCATATCTATTGCAACAATAAATAAAAAAAATATTATCCATTATCTATTGAAAATATTCATTGTTAAACACACACATAGATCTGTCTGTTCAATAACAACACAGATGTTTTCTGTCACTATCTATTGCAATCATCATCAACAACAACAATAACAACAAAGAAAAATTATCCATTTTAATAGATCTAAGTCAATAACGTATTTTGAACAGATAAAAACTTATCCATTTTAACATATCTGAGTCAACCAAGACTTAACTCTCTGATTTTGAACATTCATTTTAAAGTATCTATTTTAAAATCATCATGTATGAGGACCCATTTTCAAGCCACAATCGCATCAGAGTCTCTAATTCCTCATTCAGCAACCAAATCGCGGATTTCAAAAGGTCTTAGTGAACGAACCCTTCATTGATCATTTGCATACTTAACTTGTTGTTATGAAGGAGCTTGTAGTTGTCTCTCTAATCAAACTAAAACCACGGATGGGGTGGGATGCTTTTAGGGTTACCAAGCGTTCCAAATAGTTCAGACTCCCGATTTCTGATTTGATATCACTAATGCAATGTCAAACAAAAAAATAAGAGCCTAAATCTGGCAACTTTTATATAAAATTCATTTTATTGCAAAACATTTGCCAGAAATAGACTATATCCCCAGATTTCAGAGTCGTCATCTAATCTTTTGCAAAAACTAAAAAACTTGTGACTTGTGCTAATAGCTATCGACCGTCATAACCAAAGTGTCTCGGCTCAGAAACTTAATTATGATAGGGGAATGTCATTAATTGAGCAACCCTCTCACTCAATCACAAGATCGACCTCTACTAAGTCATGATGTGGGTTTTATAATTTACATATATTCATGTTCCGATTTTAATAATGCTATCATCACTAGCTGAGGAAATTAAATATAGACTATGTCACTAATTTTGATTATGCTTTGATTTCATGCATTTTTTGATATATATATATATATATATATTTGGAGGGGGTACAAACTCAAAATCATAAGAATCAACTATATCCCAATACAAGCAACACAACCTTCATTCGCTGGCATTCAAACATATATCTCACCTAAGCACTTAGCCTCATACTATAGCAACAGATGTGATGAGGAACATGCACACGCAATATGCTACAGTAAAAAATTCTCACCTAGTACTTCAAAGTGAGTCCCAAGAAACTTATAGATATGTAGATATGTATGCATGATCCTATATACAAATGACCAATGCAATACATACATGACATGCGCCTAAGAGTTCGGATACTAACACATGACATGGATATCATCTCAAGGCATAGGGTCAAGATATAGGGTAACGCACGTGCTCGTCTTAAAAAATAAAAAACTTCACAAATGCAAATGAACCAGATCCAATGCATGAAAAATAGATGCAATATACATGAATGATAAATATAACATGATGTTGTACAACATATATGGAAAGCAGATGAATAAAAGAGTTAGAAAAACTTAAAGTTGGAAGTTATTACAACAATTCGAATAACAAATGAGGGGAAAGAGGGAGATTATTACAACAATGAATTGATTCAGCCAAACTACTACTGAATCTAACAAATCATACTAAATAAATCATCTAGAAACTTCAGAACCATCTCTGAGAGCACTTCCCAGAAACTGCTTGCTCTATTCTTTGAAGAATAAAATGGGCCGGCTGAACGGAAAAGTAGTTGGCTGAATTCTTCTTCTAGTTGAGATTTAAATTAGTGCAAAATTTCAAAACAAAGGCCAAAGACACTTTTTGGGGGTGTTCATCCTTTCTAAGACCTCTACTCACAAGGATCACTTGGAAATGAGGTATATAGGCTACAACCCTCAACAATGATATAAACAGATATATACAACAAATATTTTGCAACAGATTAACAAAGAGATGAATCAAAATCAAGAACCAATTCAAGCCCAAGAAATGGATAAGAACTTACTTCTTCTCTTTGTGAATAAGGGCAAATTAATACCCAAATCCATGTTATTAAGTGGAGAGCATTGATTAATGTAAATCATTTCTTGGTAGAAGCTTTGCTCATTAAAACAAGGTGTAGACGTCCCCGAACGGCCTGGGGAGGAACGAGTCCACCCTGTTCTGTTCGTTTTGGGTCACTACAGTTCGGACTCACAAATTGTCACTGTTCTAAATCTGAACCAAAGAGTCCAAACCCGGCAAATCGTTTTGAGAAAACAGATTTTGAAAGAAGTGCCAAACATGGACTGCTTTGCCAGATACAGAGTCGCCACCTAAATGTTTTATTTTGGGGAAATTTAGGAAACCCTGACTTGTTTGCCTAAGGCCACGTGTCCGTCATCACCAAAGTTGCCTCGGCTCGGGAACTTGGGTACGATTGGGGAAGGTCACGTCGTGAGCACCCCCGCTCGCCCAATCAAAGATCGGCCTCTACTAACCATGATATCTATTTTTGAAAACATTATGCGTTCTTATTCCGGTTATTAGCCTAGATTTACTATGTGATACGCACAGTATACAAGTATAGAAAAATTATCTGATTATGTTGCAACTATGTGTTCCTATTAAGCATATTCCTGTTGTACAACTTGAAGTAGGTGCATTGCATACCACATTGTGGCTGTTTGTCAATACTAGACCCACTGTCTTATTATACATTTTTCTTTAGGAAATGCATTTTGTATAACAATGACGCAACAAAAAGTTCAGTTTCGTCATAACGCTTAGTTTTCATTTGGAAAAGAGAGGATAAGTTTGGCAAGAAGGAATCCGGATTCACATGTCTTGTAATTGTAACCTTCTTTGTTTTGAATCATTCTAAATTTGATTACCTTGCACAGTTGTGTATGGCAACTGAAGTATGCCTATATTTTGGTTCTTTAATGAAGTAGGATCAGTCTATCAGATATAATACTGATTTGTTTAATGGCAGGCCAACTTTTAAAATTCTATTGTAAATGGCTTACCTAATATGATTTGAACTTTAATTTTTGAACCCACTAAAATTTTTTGTTTTTTACTTTACTTTACTTTTTACTTTTTAATTTTTAATTTTTTATAAAACAGAAAGGAATGGATCATGGATCGTTGATAAATCAGAAAGTTCATAAAGTATTTCTTGATCAGGAAACTCTTTTCCTTATGATCTTCATAGCAAGTAATGGATCATGGATCGTTGCCATCTTTTAAGGGGTTCTTTGTTATAGTTAACAATATGATAGAGAGAGGATTTTATGCTGCAAATAAATTACGGCATTATCTAATTATCAGAACTTGGTGCAATTTTATATAGCTTCATGGAGCTAGTATCCCCATTTTATAATCAAATTGAAGATGCTTAAATGCTTTCTGATCCTTGAATGTTGTTTCTGTATATGGCAGTTTCAGTCAAAGAATTGTCATGTGTGTGTAATCTTATTTGGAATTAATTTGTGGCTGCACTGCTATGCTATTGGGGCTGACTCCATAGATACAGATAGGTGATAACTCTTGATCTTTTTGTCATGCAATATTCTAAGTGATATTTAATCTCATTGATGGACTGATGTTCCAGAAGCATTAGAAAATCTATTACCTAATTGTTTGCTGGTCTACAATTGTCCATTCCACTCTCATTTTGGTAAAATGGATAACCACATATAGTATATATGTAAACTTTTGGAAACTTTTTAGGCAAGTAAAAACTTTCATAAAGAAGGCCAACCAATATAATACTCATGTAGAAACTTGCAGTAGACACTACTATGCTAAGAAACACGGACATTTCTAAGAAGGTAGCGTGTCATGTCTGACACCGTGTTGGACACTGACATGACACAATGCTTGATGAACAATTCCAAATATTTGTTGGGCAAATGTCCAAAATGTCTTACTATTTAAAAAAGAAATTATGAACTTGGACATGTTTTAGAATCTTGGGGACATGTCTATCATTTAGGTACACGTGAAACACATTACAAGTTTGAATACAATTACTTGAAATACAATGCTCTTTTTTTTTTTTTTTTAAAAAAACGT